CCGTGGGGGCCCGGTGGCCCGCGCCCACCTTCCAAGGAGCCCGTGGTATCGACCGGGACGGGAGGGTTCATGGCCTCGTTGCGCACCCTCAGTTGTCAGGCCCGAGCCGCTCCGTCCCCGTTACCCCGAGTGGAGACAGTGCGCCGTGAACAGAGTCAGCTGCCAACTGGAGCGCGGGCCGGCTCCACACTGAGCAGAACCCTCCCCCGCGGACTTGGACGCAGCCATTTCCTCCCCCTCTCCCTTCTCTCTCTTTCTTCCAACCTCCTCCCTTTTTCTCTCTCCTTAATAATAAAATTATTCCGAGCAGTTTGCGGTGTGGCGGGCGGCCAGAAAAGCGTTTCTTTAAATGCCGCTGTCTCACAATTAGGCAGCGAGAGGATTTGACACTCTGTGGCGGCCTGACCGGCGGCTTCCTCCCCCGGGACCGGGAGGGAGGCGACGCCAATTCCCCTGGCTCCTCCCGCAGTTGGAACGGAAGGGTCTGGCGTGCTGTGCCTCTCGGGCTGTCAGGCTGCTGCAGGGGGATGTCGGCCGGGAAGCACCCCCGCCCCGCCAGGCTGGGGCGGGGGGGGGCTCTTCCCGACTCCTCCGGGAAGCGGGGTCCAGGAGGAGGACCTCCCCACCACCCTTTCTGGCCTCCAGCTCAGCGCTTCCTGTCGGACAGAAGAGCGCTGGGGAGGAGCTGGAGGGTCTCAGCCTGCTGGCCTCCGGCAGGTCGCCCTCTCTAGGCCTTCATTCATTCCCTGCAGGTGACGGGAGGCTTGTCTTAGAATCTGCTCTGCACACAGTGGCTTCCTCAGATCAGGCAGTTCCCCTTCTCCCAGCTTCCCCTGACTGCCTGCTCTCCCCACTCCCACAGCCTCCTGGTGTCACACGGGCAGCTGTCTGTGTGTCTGTCTGCCTCTGGAGGGCAGGGCCATGTGCTTTTCCCTCTGCACCCTCAGCACCCAGCTTGCTCCTCCCCAAACCCCCAGCAGACTGTAAGCCGAGCAGAAGTGAACTTGACAGATGAGTGGGCACAGGCGCCGGAGGGACGATGACCCAGGGGCTGTAGAGGGCCGACTGTAAGTTGATTGGCTACAGTTGATTCCGGCCTCCAGGCCTGGCATCATCAGCCCTCTCTCTGGGTGGCATCCTTTAGACTGTGATGAGGGTTAAGTGATGAACCCAGCCAGGAGCTGACCACGCGTCCCATCTGCCCGTCCATCCGGGCAGTAGGCGGTATGAAACAGGCACCTACTTGGGCCAATGTCTGGGCGTAGAGCTGGGGACCCAGCAGATGGAGCCCCGCCCTCCTCAGGCTGCACTCTGGGGAAGGCGGCACAGCACACCTGTGGTCCTACCATTCCTTACGCAGTTACTGCTGCAGTGAGCGCCACCAAGGAGCCCTGCGGGGGCCAGCAAGGTGGTGGGCACTGGGGCCTCATCCAGGTGCCTCTCACTTCTCTGCCCTCCTTCTCCAGGCTGCCCAGCTCCTCCCTGCCACTGGCCAGCTGCACGGCCAGCCCTGCCTCCCGGCCGGCAGCACTCACCTGCTGCCCCACCCCGCAGTCTGCTGGACTCGGGGCTTCTCCCGTTCCCCTCCTGCTCTCGTGCCTTCTCATCGAGTGCCTCCCAAGGGCCTGCGCACTTACATGTGGAGATTCCTGCCCACAAGGCCCTGCCTGTGACCATGGAAAGTTCTGTGTCAGTTCCATCAGCGGGCGACACCTGGGAGCTTGTGATCAGATACAGCACAGCCAGCTTTTCTTGAAATCTGGCGTGTTAAATTTTTTACTTGGTTGATAACATTTTTTAAAAAGAGATTTATCTTTTTATAAAATCCTGATTTCTGGCGTTTTAAAGGGAAAAATTCAAGTTCTGGCACCTGGGCCTTCCTTCCCAGAAGGCAGCAGCTCACTGGAGGCGAGTGGGGCTGCCCCGTGCTCCCCCTCCATTCACCCGCCCACTTCACGTCAGCACATCACCCGGCTGGAGGGAGCGTGTTCTTCGTTGGATGAGTGAGGGGCTGTGGCCACAGATTCCTGTCCCCACCCAAATGGGCTCTGTCCCGCCACCTGGCCGCTCGCTCCGGATACTTTCATAGGCCAATACGACACTTTACACATTATTTAACAGATATTTATTGTTATGGGAAATGGAGGTATAGCTGTGAACAAAACAAACCAAAACACCCTGCTCTCACAGAATCTTTGTTATCATGAGGAGAGACCAATGCGGAGCCAGCCAGCTGGCCACGTGGCTTATCGCAGGAGCTGAGCACGGGGTGGAGGAGCTGCCGGGGTGCCGTTTCCGGGCTGCTTGGGGAGGCCACCTGAGAGGGTGAGGCCAGTGCCGGCTCTGGGAGGAGCCCTGCCGAGGTCTGAGAACAGTGTTCCAGCAGAGGAGGCAGCAGGTGCAAAGGCCCTGAGACTCGGCGATGAAAATGCTGGCCCAAGGCCACCAAGTCAGTCAGCAGCCAGACAAGCCATAGGCTTGGTGCCTTGGTGCTTCCACTTCCCAAGGGAAGTCCTGGTCTCTGGGCACATGGGGTGAGGAGGACAAGACCCGGGTGAGAGGCTGGGCTCTCCTCGCCTCTGCCTCCTCTCCTAACCAGCAGACAGATCCTAGCTCAACCACACTGTGCAGTCGCCTGCAAGGCCCGGACCTGGGAGTGTGGGGGAGGGATCATGCCCTCCGTGGGTCCCCTCGAGCCCCCAAGTCAGCCTCTTGATCTCGCTGGCCTGGGGCCCCAGAGCCCCCCGCCTGAGTGTCTGCCTCCCAGCAGTCGGCCCCACCATCCTTAGTCTTTCCCTCATTTTGACAGACGGGGAGAAGTGCTGATGTTCTTTGTTGAATAAAAATCTAAAGACAATTATGTCCACAAGAGCCTGATAAGTCTGAGCTGACAACAGGTGAGTTCTCCCCGACACACCCCTCTCTGCCCCCTGAGAGGCCTTGGATGCCAGCACAGCTGCTTTGGGAATTTCTTCTTGTTCTTCCCCAAGCCCCGCCCCCAGCACTTCACAGCAGGGAAGCCCCATTGGCCAGCTGCCCCTCACTCAGACTGTGGACGCCTCTGGCTTAAGTGGCTCAAGTCTCGGGCTTGTTGGCCTCTGCATCCCAGAGAGTCACCGTGGAGGGGCCGGGACACAGCCTGCGCTGTGGGAGCCTTCCAGTCCTGACCCTCCTGGGAACGGGTGGTGGTTTTCTAACAGGACGGAGTGCTTCCGAACCAGCACAGCATCACCCGGCAAGCGGTGCCCCGGCGAGCATCGAAGGACCAGGAGGGGTCCTTGGTGGGTGGGGCCTGAGGGAGGGCCTCATTCAGGGGGCCCCGTGGGTGTCTGCTGCCTCTGCCTCTGGTCCTTGCAGAGATGCCATCGGCAGGCTCCCAGGAGGGCTTCCCACCATCTGTAGAGTCCAGAAGCCCCTACTCCCGTTCAGGCACCCTCCAGAGACGCCCGCCTCGCCTGGGCTCCCTCACCTGGGCATCTGGAGGGGGGCTGGGTGGTCTGCCTGCTTCCCCTCCCACTCACCCCAGTGCTTGCCTCAGTATCCAGGCCCTCGCACCTGCCTCCCGTGCTGGGCCCACGGGGCCATGAATGAGGAGAGGCGCATGCCAAGTGTGCCGTTTGTGAGGGACGGTCTCAGGAGGCCATACTTCGGGGTGGGGGCTTCCTTGTTCCCTGGGATGCCTTCCTCTGCCCCATGCAGGGCTCCCTCGCTGGCTCTGGTCCCCACCTCATCACTAGCCGCTGGCCCAAAGACCCTCCCTGTCCCAGAGGCCTGTGGGTCCTGGGCTGTTTGTCTTGTGGGTCCTTGAAAGCTCCTCTCTTTCCCCAATTCAAGCCAGGCCTTTAGGATTCAAAATAGACCTCACAGATCAGCAGTCAACCTGGCGAATGATTTACCATTTTAATGGAGGTCTCTTACTAGTGTTCATCACCTGCCTCTAGTGGCCCCTCAGCTCCTCCTTGGACACCCCCAGCTTCCTGACTTCGGGGACTTTCCCCTTCCCGTTCCCAGGCTTGAATGGGTTGGGTTTAAAAATACTTTTCCTGTAGCTACAAATGAGAACGCAGGGGAGCAGAATGGCCCCCACCCCCAACTTCTTCTCCCCCCTTTCCTCTCTCTGTCTGTCTGTCCCTTTTCTGTCTGCCACTATCCCTGTGTCTCAGGAAAACCTTCAGCCAGCCTCCTGGCTGCGCCCCACCCGGGGGGCTCAGCAGCTGCGGGGCCTGGAGAGGCTGTGGGCCCAGTGACCTCTCTGAGGCTGCCATGGTGACAGCAGGCGGCCGTAGCCACTGTTGCCCGTAAGTGGACCTCCCTCAGGTGGGTCTGGCTCCTTGAGGAGAAGCGGGCCCTGACCTGGCTGACGGGCCTGGGAATGTGAGCACCCGGTGCCGCTCCCTGCACACCCTCCTGCTGTCACGCTCCGAGGTGCCTCCTCTAAAATTGAAATTTTTTTAAATTAAAAAAATATTTTTATTGATTTCAGAGAGAGAAATGGAGATAGAAACATCAATGATGAGAGAGAATCATTGATTGGCTGCCTCCTGCACGCCCCACACTGGGGATTGAGCCCGCAACCCCAGCTTGTGCCCTTGTCTGGAATCAAGGCCTGCGCTCTACCCACTGGGTCAGCCCGGCCAGGGCTAACATGGGGATTCTGGTGGGGGCCAGGTGGGGGCGCCACCCTCGCTCTGGGCAGGGCTCGCGCTGCAGGTCGCAGAAGGCTCTCCCTTGGGGCCACTCGTACGCAGGCCTCTCCTCTCCATCTCACCTCTTCCTGTAAAAGGCAGAGCAGTCAGCACTCACTGAGGCACGCACAGCCAGGGGTGCCCTTCACTCTACAGCACCTTTGGGGGAGGGCGGGGTTGGGGTCTTTGCCTGAAGGGACTGCTGAGGCCAGCAGCTGCCAAAGGCCCTTGAGGGCTGAGGACCGCTGGCCTTGCACCATGGGAGGGTCTGTTCACGTCCCAGCTCTCTCTCCCCCCTGGTGATGGCTGTCAGGGGCTGGGGGAGCCATGAGGGGACTCCTGTGGCCTTGGAGGCAAGGGCTGGACCCTGAGCCAGCCTCCAGTGCACGCCCCCGAGCGGGCCTGCTCCTGGCCAGTGGCCTGGGAAGACCAGTGTCCCGGAGTTGGGAGTTGTCATACGTGTGCAAATGTGCCTAATGCACGGCTGACTTCCTCTTCCTTCCTCCTTCAGAGACAAGGCCTGGCCTAGTGTCTGGAAGAAGAGGCAGGTGGGGGAGCTGGGCTGGGCCAGGAGACCTGGGAGGCTGTGTTAGGGGTGTACTCCCCTGACCTCCACCCCGTCTCCCTCCAGCTGGACCCACAGAGGTCAAACCCCCGGTCTGCCCGGCTCTGCCCCCTCCTGGGAAGCAGCCCCTGTGCCTGCCTCTTTCCTTGTCTTTTCCTAGTCTTCTCGAAAAGTCATCCTAATCGTAACGATGAATAACAGAGCCCCGTGGCAGCTCTTAAAGACGCAGAGCACCATTCTCTCCTGGCAGAGCCGGCTGTCTCTGAGCCGGGCCTTTGATGCCATGCCTTTGTTCCCGTGTCCCTGCCCCACCCTGCATCTGGGGTTGGAGGTGGGTGTTGGGGTGAGCATTTCGGCTGCTTCTCCATCAGGCGCTGGGCTTTCGCATTTTAATTGAACTGTCTTTGCTCAGAGATAGATGCTCTCACCACATCCAGCTGCTCGTGTGGATTGGGAACCCGCCTGCAGTGCAGCGCGGCTAAATGAAAAGATGCAGCAGCTGGACTGATTAGAGCGGGGGGAGGGTTGGACACTGGTCATAGCACTTTCTCTTTGTAAATAATGTTTCTGGGTAATGCATTTTGGAGAATGTGAAAAAAATAAAAGCTGCAGAAATGTTAATGATATCCACAGGACACAGCAGGAAATGAGAGCGATCTGGGACTAATAAAAGCTGAAATAGAATCTGTGCAGATATACAAGGCGCAGCCTTCAGAATGGGCTTGGCTTTGCGCATCTGGGCTCATAGCACAGCGTGGGGGTGGGGAGGGCAGCGCTGGGGCTGCAGGGGTGGCTTCCACCTGCTGGCCCCGCTGTGGGGAGGCAGCCAGGGTGCCTGCCCGGGACGGAGGGGGCCACCTGGGTGGGCCTCCTACCGTGGTTGGGTCAGGAGGTACAGGGCTGCCCACCTGTCAGGAGCCTCCAGGCCAGAACTGAACTCGGCCCCCGCGCCTCTGGGCTGGCGTGTGGCAGCAGGCACCGCCTGTGATGTTTGATCCCAGCGCCAGAGATGGGAGTGCAGTGGCAGAAGGGCAGGCACGTCTCGCATTGTCGGGGGCCTGAGATAAATCGGGGAGGCCAGAGGGCGTCTGGCTTTGCCGGGCCTGGTGGGCAGGAGCTCGCCACAGGACACGGGTCCCCTCTGCAGCCGGGGTCTCCAGCGCTGAGCCAGCACCAGCTGCCGGCGAGGGCCACGGAGGCGGGCTCCGGCGCTGTCTGGCTGCCCTGGGCTCGCTGGGTCAGCCCCAGCAGTGAATGAGGACGGGGCCTAGGTGGGGTCCTGGAGAAGAGGAGGGGTGAGCGGGGCCTCTTGGGGCAGCCCCTCCCCTCACTCCACATCTTCCCCTTCTCCCACCTGCATGTCTCTCTTCCCTGTGCTTCTGTACTTCCTCTGGTTTCTCCTGGAATCCTGTCGCCCACGCGGGCCACCCTCGCTCCGTGCTGGCCATGGAAGTCCCCGTGCTTTCCTGGAGACCTAGGATGTGCAGGCCGAGCTGAGTCAGGGTCTTCCTGTCCCCTCCCCGCCTCCAAACCCCAGCCCTGGTTGTGGGTAAATCCTGAGCCCCCTGGGCTCCCCAGCCTGGAGCGTACCGTGCTCCTCCCTCTGCGAAGGGCCTTCTGAGGTGACCAGGCCTCCAGGCAGATGGGAGCCCTGCAGCCTGGACGCTGAAGGCTGGTGTTTTCTGAATCCAGTTGCTCTGCCCAGAGGGCCTTCACCCCAGGGTCATTTCCTGACCCGAATCCTGCTTTGTGGTAGGCTAGGCCCCGCCAGGGCCCCAGCCCCTAAAATCACAAACAGATGGGCTCTTGGCTTGGTGTGACCTGGCCCTGACCCCGTGGAGGCCAAAGGGGCCTGTCAGGAGGGCCTGGGCTGCTTCACACACACACACGCACACGCGCGCACACGCACACGCGCACACACACACACACTGCACTTGGGTGCTGTCCCGTCAGCGTGCACTCGCTCACTCTGGGCCATGAACTCTGTTTCCCCACCTATCACATCAACAAGAGGCAGGGCCCTGTCCTGCGCCCCTGGGAGTCAGGGAGGGGGTGCGTTGGGCCGACAGTGGTTCAGAGGCCCCTAATGGACATCTGCTAGAAGGACGGCAGGGTCCCGATGGCGTGGCAGCGATGGCGGTGTGTGGTAGCCGTGCGAGCAGCTTCTCCAGCAGGGCAGGCCTTCCTGTTCCCGGCTCGGCCGGATCTGCTGACCCGCAAGACTGAGGCTGGGTTCCAGGATCCAGTGCCCTGGGGACAGGGGCGCGGGAGTTGCTGTGCTGAATGATTTCAAGCTCAGGAAAGGGCTGAAAGGGATGGGGGAGAGAATGGGGAGCCCCCCGGGGGCATCTCCCAGGTGACCTGGAGATTGGGCAGCTGGGTTTGCACCTCCCTCCCTCTCCCCTTTGGAGGGCAGCCACTTGGCCTGGCTCAGCAGCAGGTGATGGGGTGGGAATGGCAGAGCCCCTCCCTGCACCGAGCCGGTGTGTGCGCAGCTGGGGAAGGGGGGAGTGGCGCCGGCAAGGGGGCTTTCGGATCTGTGGGGAGAGGGCAGGCTGGGTGATGGGGGCAGGCAGGTTTTCTGCGGTGAAAGGAAATGGCCCATCTGAATTGCTCTCCCCCCGCCCCTTCCATGCCCATCTTCCCTCCCCGGCCCCCTTCTCTTTTCGCAGATAACCAGCCCAAGTCATGCAGTCTTTCCGAGAAAGGTGCGGTTTCCATGGCAAACAACAGAACTACCAGCAGACCTCACAGGAGACACCGCGCCTGGAGGACTACAGGCAGCCGAGCCAGGCCGGGCTGAGCTGTGACCGGCAGAGGCTGCTAGCCAAGGACTATTACAGCCCGCAGCCGTACCCGGGCTACGAGGGCGGAGCTGGCGCAGCT